GCCTGTATATAGGGGATATAGGGGATATAGATGATAGATGGATAGATAGATGGATGGATGGATGGATGGATGGATGGATGGATGGATGGATGGATGGATGGATGGATGGATGGATGGATGGATGGATGGATGGATGGATGGATGGATGGATGGATGGATGGATGGATGGATGGATGGATGGATGGATGGATGGATGGATGGATGGATGGATGGATGGATGGATGGATCTCCATCTGCCACAGGCATTTTACCTTTAAAACTGAGGTGAACATAGAAATTGTCTTGTGCTACAATTAAAACCATCTGAAAGACAACTCTAGTCCTTGTTCTTTGGACTAAAGCCAGTGTAAACAAAAGCTCCAAGCTCCTTCTCACATGGCTAATTTACCTCATGGCTGCTGAACCAAACGAGGCTCCTACAAAATGAGCCCCTTGAGGATAGTTACAAACACCCCATAGATAAAACTCTTCTTTCCTTCTCTCTAGCACTACCAGGCCAGAGAAAATGGTTTTCAGAGTGTTCCAATCCAGCTTGAATACGGGGACATGGAAAAGGAGTCTGATATTTGAGCTCATTCCACAAACTACAAAGCCTGAATAGAATTATGGAAAATCAATCAAGAGTTGGTGGATTCTTTCTGCATGGATTCCCTGATACTGAGGAGCTACGAATGGTTCATGTCATAATTTCTTTAGTAATTTATTTGATGGTCCTCATTGAAAATCTCATTATCGTCATTGTCATTTTTTATAGCCATCGACTTCATTCACCCATGTATTTTTTCCTAGTCAATCTCTCCTTCCAAGATCTTGGCTCCATCTCTGTCATAATTCCCAAGTCCATGCTGAATTCTGTGATGAACACTGAAACCATTTCTTACTCTGGATGCCTCTGCCAAGTTTTCTTCTTTGATTTCTTTGTGATATCTCATCTCTTCCTCCTTGTTGTCATGGCATACGATCGTTATGTAGCCATCTGCAATCCATTACATTATGAAACAGTAATGAGCAAAAGAGCCTGTATCCAAATGGCAACCAGCGCATGGATTGGTGGTCTCTTTTACTCAACACTCTATACAGGAAATTTAGTCACGGTTGAGTTCTGTTCCAGAATCATCAATCAGTTCTTCTGTGAAATTCCCCAATTGCTCAAGATCTCCTGCTCTGATTCTTATGTTGCAGAAAAATGGGCACTCATCTTTGGCTTTTGTGTAGGCTTCATTCTTTTTGCTATAATTGTGTTTTCATATGTTAAGATTTTTAGAGCAGTTTTTCAAATCCCATCTACCCAAGGGAAG